AAATATCCATCAAATAAACAAATGTTCTGGGGTCTTTGTCTGAACCATCCTTCAAATAACCTAACAAGCATCATAATGGGATTTAAGGTGGAATTCCACCCACTTCCCCCAAAACAACCAAATAAAACTCCACTCCCCTTTGTCACTCCGTAATGGTTATCATGCMATATTTAGTGGTGACATCCATAGCCTTCAAATATATAAAAGACATTAAAAGAAGAAATATTTAGGAAACTTGTCATAATCCACATGGTTTTACACATTTTGTCAAATAACTGCGTAGTGTTTTGAACTTGGCTCAGCCAAAATGAAACAGGAAGTGACATCAAAGGGGAACTCGTTGCTCTTTGTTGAAACATTTTTTGAACTCTTGACATCGACTGACAGTATGACTCAAAACAATCCAGATTCTTCCCTACTCTGTTAATCATAGCCAAGCTCTGTTTACATGCAAACATTCCCCTTTGACATCACTTCCTGTTATTTCACATTTAAATCTCAACGGTTCATCTCAGCAGTGTCACGGGCACTTTTTGTGCCTGATTTGACCTGTTGTTTTAGGGTATTTGCAAGACTTTCTAGTCGTATACAGATTAATACTAGCTTTTTTAAAAACATTACTAAAGAGTCAGACACCTTCAATTAAAGCCACATCCATGAAACAGTTCATATTCTGCATTTAGGCTTTGAAACAAGTCAACATGTTAATTTTGATTTAAAGAAAAGGATTCCATGCAGGCATTTGAGCAGGGAACAAAAATAAAATAAAATAAAAATACTGGCCTCTATAGGAAAGCAGAAAGAGGTTAAATGTTCAAATCAATTAGCCCAAACTAAACTGGGAGTTTAATCTAWAGTTACTTTCTTCACTACAAATTGACACTTTTTGTGCAAGAGATTAAATAAACTACATTTCCACATTTAAGTCTTTAAAAGTAACTGTAGGGCATTCATGAAATAGTCATTTATACAATATTCCTTCAGGATCTTAACAGCTTTTTATTCCTTCTTTAGTTGAATGGTTCTTAGAACACACTGACCAAAAGTTTGTTGTAGAAAACCCCAAACTGAGCACAAACCTGAGATGTTTGTTGCTGAAGGACGGTGGTGGTGGT